ACCGTCGTAACACAGCCCGCAAAACGAGTACTTCAAGTCTCGCGAACCTACAGCGCAGCTCGTTACAAAGGCCCGTAGATGCTTCTATCGGGTTAATGTGAGCCAATGAGCAGACTTGGATGCGAGGTGGTTCTAGTTTGTACATAAGAAGGTTATGAAAAACATACAAATGGTGATTAGAATACCCTTTGTTGCGCTTCGCACATAGAACCTCAGTTTCTTCAAACGGCAGACCTCAACTTGAACAGGAGATTCTCATTCTTCGGCTTATTCTATGCGCTGTTGTCTAGCTTTTGTGGGTGACAAAGCAACGGCAACGTGGTGGTGTCGGGCATGAACGTGTGAAACGTCTGGAAAAAATGCTTTAACGAGCATTTTTCTTCGTCTGCTGCACTTCAGGCATCTTTGACGTGCCATGCAAAGCACACATTCTGTGCACTAAGGCGGCTTCCTTGCATTAACTATCAGTTGGAATTTACTCAAGGTGGCCTATTAAAACACGTGTACTTAAATACCACTCGGAAATGTCAAAAGCATAAATTAAGAATTAACTGGTGCCATATATATAAATTCCAAATTTACGTGAGTTATCATTAAACCCGTTAGAGCGCAGTTTCGCCAAAGCGTAATACGCAATTTACTATCATTCTTCAGATCCTAAAGCAAACGTGGGTCCTGACTATCAATGAGGATTAGCGATCTTACAAGCGAATTTTCTTAAACGCGTGCACAATGACCTTTTACGGTTTGTTAGATCGGTTATCCTTATGAGCGTACCGGAAAATTTACCAGTCGTTTCATTACGTAGCTGTAATTATATTAATTGGAGAGCGTATGGGAAATATAAAAAAATTGGACAATCATGAGGAGTTATTCGTGAGAATGAGTTCCCTAGAGGACTACTGCCGATGCTCCACCTTCTGCGATATAGCTGCTACTCGTGTTAATAGTTACTCCCCTCCGTCCAGCTGGTAGCAACCCTTCTTTAGCTATATCGGTTTTCCTGCTTCACAGTGCTACAAAGTATGTAAAATCTCCAACGCAATTTTGTGCATGCTGAGGTAGAAACTTTTCTCAGAAATCGCAGATCTGACTTCAGTTCTATGTTTTATCGCACCAGAACAAATTGGATTAGGTGTGAACTGGCTTTTGCATTTTTTTCCGCAACTTGCCCTCAAATCGATCTTTTACCATCGTCTGCTCAGAATCTTGGCAGAAAATTTCGTCAGGTCTCTGTCTGCTGTACGGCTTGGCTAGATCTGCAGTTGAGAATATTTTGAAAGTGGAAGACCATAAGTGCAAATTAAAAATATAAACTTACCGGGCTTGCAAAATCCGCACTCTGGGCGTTCAGTCACGTGCTGTCAAGGTAGGCAAAAAATTTCACCTCTCCGGTCATCTTAATCGGTCGGCCTTCGTGATCATCACTTATCGCATTTCCATCAGAGATCAAAGGCTACTTGGTGTAGGTCTGTTGGAATATTCGCATTCCATCTTAGTCTAAAAAGAAGTGTGATTCAATAGATTTCCGCTGGACAAAAAATACGTTATATATATGCCATGGAACTGTAGCTATAAATCAGCTACTTTTAAGGCATTCCTGGGCAACATCCGGGTCGAATTAAAACGTCAGAGTGCATTCAGGTGAGTATCATTATACACGTGTCGGTTGCGACTGGAACTATCGGCAGAAACACACGCAACGGGAATGTAATCGGGAAAATCTGTGAAAATGCCCTAATTTACCAGGTTTTTTCAATAATCGAGCATTCTAGTCCTAATCTTAGCGTTATACTAGGAGGAGCGGGTAATGCATATACCAGAACTTTGTAGAGAACGGCATAAGTTTGCGGCTGAAGCTCGTAAGATTTAAGACTTGCAGGTGATTTTAGTACCGCATCCAAAGGTAGTTTTCGTAAACTATAAAGGAGTAACTTTTCTTCTGAATAAAGCCAACTAAACCCGCCCACCACGCGTTTTAAGATCTTGTAATATGAAGAAAAAGCGCCTATATGCGTATCCAGTCAGTATTTTAAAAACTTTTTTGCTTAGAAACCTTAATAAGACACATCTGTTTGAGGCTATTTATTTAAAAACCACCAGAAATTCACTCTTCCTCTCACCTGACAACGGGAATGAAATATATTCACACCTATATAATATACCTAAACAGATGAACTGAGGACTACGCATTTAAGACAACGAGTCAGAAAATTATATCGTGGTGTGAAATAATTCACCGCAGTATCCGATCGCACTCGTTTATGCAGTTCCCAAGAGGTTACGTGATGGCATATTCAATAAGAAAAACAGACTGCCTCCACTTTTATCAAAGTGTTATAAGTAAAGCAAATTAGACCCGGTACCAATGAACATTCACCAGACTTCCCGTGGGTATTGTTAATCAGGTATACGTGATTTAATACGTTTGCTCCGTTTTCTACTGGAATCCTGTGGCATGTTTTTGCCACGTAGTAGAAAAAGTCCATTCCCCACGGAATACTGAACAGGATTTTTAGTTAGGTATTGCACACGAAATAAGTACAGACTGAATAGGGTGATCTTCTCGTGATCAATCTCCTCCCTTCGATGCCTATCTCGATCACTGGACTGTGATTTAATGTTTGGTTGAAATATACATAGGCCCC